GCCTTGTCCCCCTGCCGTTAGCGGCAGCTGCTCTAGTGCTTCGGCAGGAGCTCCTTCCCCTCCTTCCCCATCTGATCTGTTCTGCAGGTCTGTATACCCGGGCTGCACTGGGAACATGCCCAGCAGTGCCCCGGGGGCGGGACGTATTCCGCCCAATAGCCTCGCTCTACTCGCCCTTGTTCAGTGCAGGGTTGGTACACTCCGTCACAGTGACATTAATTCACCAAGACTTGCACTGATGCCACTAACTCTTTTCACAAGGATTATCCAGCATTGTTTCAGCACATGGTGGTGCCTTTTGGCAACCTGGGCCCCAGACTAGATTCAAACTTGCACTAAACCCTTCCATCACCTGGTGAAGTTCCCGTCTCTCAAGCCGATATCATGATAACCTATTGCTTTCCCCTGTGCTAGGTGTCTAGTTGGCAGTCCCAATGGAAGGAATTTTGGGGACGTGGCTTTCCTGGAACATCATAACCTGCTCAAGAATATTAAGAGTGAGATGCTGTTTGTCCCATCCTTTGAGAATTTCAGCGGGTACCAAAGTTTCTTCCCACACAATGATCATGGTTCCGAAATCTCCATATGCCAAAGGTCTAATCTGAGCACACAGCTGTTTGGCCTGGGTTTAAAGTGACAAGCACCCTTCTGTGTCTGAATGCACTGATGAAACATGAAATTTAGTTACAACTTAGTTTGGAGGGGAAGAGAGTCATAATCAGTGAATGCAGGCAGATAAGGAAGAAGATGACTTGGAAAGTGCCTCATCCAGAGGTAGCTGCAGGCGTTGTATTCCTTTATGCTTGACCAGAGAAGAAGAAAATCAGGGCAGTGAGGTACAAGATATCGCAATAGATGCTAGAGCAGGGGTGGGCAATAATTTTTAGTGGGGGGCCACACCAAGATTTTGGATAGTGGTCATGGGCCACACATGTATGGAGGGAGCACGGGGTCTGGGATAGAGACTGGGAGCAGAAGGGCGCTTGGGATAGAGGACTGGGATGCAGGATGGGGTGTGGGGTCTGAGAGGGAGTTTGGGTGAAGGAGGGGGTTATGATCTGGAACTGGGGCTTGCGGGTGCAGGTTCCAGGAGGGATTATGGGTGCAGGAGAGGATTCTGGCCTGGAGGAGGAAGGTAGGAGGGGGTGCAGAGTCAGGGAGGGAGTTGTGACTTGGAGGAGATGAGGAGAGGGGACACAGAGGGTTTGGGTGATGATATAGGGCAGGAGGGGCTGGTGACCTGGGGCAGATAGTTGGTGGGGAGGGGAGGCGGGGAAGAGAGGGTGTGTGAGCCAGAGGCAGGCTATGGCTGGGAGACTCTTATCTTGGCAGCTCCCA